ACATTCAAGCAATACCTGCAAAGCCACACTACCCCCGCCAGTCACCTTCAAGCAATACTTGCACAACTACACTACCGCCATCACACTCCTTCAAGCAATACCTGCCCAACTACACTACCACCGTCACACACCTTCAAGCAATACCTGCCCAACTACACTACCGCCGTCACACTCCTTCAAGCAATACATGCACAACTACACTACCACCGTCACGCACATTTAAGCAATCCTGCACAGCCGCATTACAACTGCCACACTCCTTCAAACAATACCTGCATAACGACACTACCACCGTCACACACCTTCAAGAATTCCTGCACAACCACACATCCGTCGCCACACTCCTTTAAGTAATACCTAGACAACTACACATCCGTCGCCACCCACCTTTAAGCAATACCTGCACAACAACACTACCGCTGCCACAATCCTTCAAGCAATACCTGCACAAACACAACCACTATCACACACATTCACACAATACCTGCACAACCACACATCCGTCGCCACACACCTTCAAGCAATACATGCACAACTACACTACCACCGTCACGCACATTCAAGCAATACCTGCAAAGCCACACTACCCCCGCCAGTCACCTTCAAGCAATACTTGCACAACTACACTACCGCCGTCACACTCCTTCCAGCAATACATGCACAACTACACTACCGCCGTCACACTCCTTCCAGCAATACATGCACAACTACACTACCACCGTCACGCACATTTAAGCAATCCTGCACAACCACACATCCGTCACCACCCTCACCCCCAACCTCACCTCAACCTCAACCTCAACCTCACCAACCCCACCCCCCTCCCCCCAACCCCCCTGCAAACTTCCACTCTTAAGATGACTTGATTAACATGGAAACCTCACACAAAATAGTCTACTTACAATCTATACAATGGTGCCAAGGAAGAAATGTGAAATCAGATAAAACTATCCTAAAATAATCTGGCAATAATTTGTAAAGCATCTCCAGTTATTGGATGAGTAGCCATCTGTTTTCATCTGTTACACTCAAACAGCCTGTCTTTGATCCAATTACAGGTCTGAGATACCGACAGCAGGTGACTTTAAACCATGTCTTCTGCAATTGACTTTTTGTCGACGTGAACCAATGGCTGATGCGTTTTACTGTTCAGATTGTGGATTCTTTGAAGTATGAAAGGCTATGTAACAAATCCCATCGCTTTCTCCATGTGATCCCATTTCGATCGGGAATATTTCTGCCGGTACATTAAGCTGTTTGCCACTAGTTCAATCTTTCTGTTTTTGTTGAAATTCTGGTTGATGGATAACACCACAACGGCATCGCCATACAAGCCTCACAAACCCACCACCGAACATTGCTAATCATGAATGCACTGTAACATCATACCCAATACATTACAACCTCTGCACCAACACATGAAATGTGTGCAAATTTAATTCCATTTAATAACGGTTCTCAACCAGTCAGATTGCAGCACCCACTTCCATTCGATTTACAAATATTCCAAACACACCACACAGGAATTTCTAATCTTGTATGTTCAGCTTGTTGTACAGATACTGTCTTTCTCTTTGTGTGAGTTCATTGGAGTATGCACCTACGTAGGGACAAACTGTATGAACGTCTCAAGAAGATGTTTTGGCCTAAAACCCAAGAGTAACCTCTGGTATTGGTGACTAGTTTCGAGCTGAATGGCTCTCAACAGACTTATAGGCCAAATGCCAAATGCACTTCACCTGTAAGAGTAGAAACATAATCTACTTACGAAACTGCTCCAAATGGTGGGAAACAGCTTGTAGGAGAAACAACACGACACTTTTGCATCAGACTCAAAGAGGTGAGGTGAGGTGAAATGGGGTTTAACGTCGCGTCCAAGATTATTGCACTTATATAGCGACGTGCATGTACGTGTGTGTGTGTTTGTGTGGCTGCTTGTACTAGTCCGGACTGATGCCGATTTATAGTGCTAGCTCACTGAGATACCATGCCGCAGTTTAACATGAATACCCCACTCAGACACAGTATACTGACTCCGAGCCGACCAGTCCTTGTTTTAGCCCCTTAAAGCCGAGCGCCAGACAGGGTAACAACAAGGACCATCTTTTAACGTCTTTTGGTCAGACTCAAAACCACTTTGCCCACATCAACCATCAAAGGGACAAACCCGTCGCCAAACATTTCAACTCTATGGGACACTCAACTAGAGACCTACACTATCAAATCAAAACGGACCCTAAGTCGGACAACAGCACGGCTAAACGCCGATCCATTGAACTAAAATGGATTTTTTTATCTCAAAACTATCAACCCTTAAGGCATGAACAACAACATCTAATCCTGGAGTCCTGATCACGTGGTTATAATCCGGGTAAGGGTTGGGAGTCAGGTGACTGCAAATGGTTACATTTGCGTGCATCTCGAATTAAAACCAACATCTGAACGGTTTATCTTTTTAGTACGCTCTTGTAATGATGATCAGAAGCTTCAGGCAGTGGGTACTAGGTTGTCAGTACCACTACTTGTATTCTTGTTTCAGTGCCTCTCTTTGCGTACTGTGGTTTCGAGTACTTAAGAAGTATTTTTCTCATTACGCGTCTAATAACAATCACATTACACAAAGCCTTACCTTTTAGAACATTTATTTCTGTTTACAATTGGATAGTCAAATGCCAACATCATGTCAATTTGATCGTCATAATGCCTCGCCAAGCGCGGCGAGAAATCAGGCGCCATCTTGTTACCGTCACCTGATTTCGAGGCACTCTATTACAGTCAAGTTTCAATGGTTGCACGACATGATAAAACACATGACATTACAGACATGAAGTTTACGAAGAGCGGCCGATACATCATCGGTGCATACGATTGTTCTGAAAAAAATATTATCAGATCAAGTTTGATTAAAATGTGCATTTGTGAAAAAGTAAGTTTTGAGATATGTTTTCACACTTGCCGAACACTTTGACGCTCATCAGTGAGCTTTGAAGCGCCTACCTTGGTTTCGTCACTACGCGCATGGTTACGCATTGTCTAGGGGCTCAAAAGGAGGTGATGCTCGAAACAATTTACGTGTGCTATATAATTAACACCACATTACATGGGTCAGAAAGGTGAGATGGGTTTTACGCCGCTTTTTGCAATATTCAAGCAATATCATGGAGGAGGGCACATTGTACCCATGCGGGGAATCGAACCGAAGCCTTCCGCATGACGAACGAACTCTGTAACAACTCTGCTACCCCGCCATCACCATAACAGGATGTGTAGTACGTGAGACATAGCAAGGCAGGTGGTCGCTACGCTTTAAATAGGTTCAGATATAAGATATGTTAGTGTGTTTTGTCAAATAAAACTGGCAATCGATAATCTACAAACAAAGACAAACAGTTGAGTCAAATGAAACTATAATCATATTTCTTGGAAACTTTACTGCGCTGAGTTGACATTTTCAACTTCTTTGGCCGTTGAAAATGTTGGATATGCAGATCTGCCTGCAAGATGTTTCCTCTTTTTGTCGATTTTCACATGACAGTTTCATACATGTCTTGTTATTTAATTTAAATTTAGTTAAACATTATCTTCTAAATTACCTCAGGTGTAAATGAGCTGAACGAGTTCAGTATATCTTAATCCCGATGTGTTTACTGATCGAGTAAATATCTTAAATGATATTACTTGTTTGCTGTTTTGTGGTTGATAATTAATTAACACACCAATATCTGTGGAATATCGTGTATCCCTTTCACAAGAAGATGATTTCAAGGAAACCTCAGATACAAACATACTGACGAAAGGGAATCGAGAATATTAACAGCAGTCATTGGTAAAGTTATTCCGCTGGAGATAATTATACGAAAAGATTTATCTCAAGTAATGTGTGTATGCCGACCATGTCGTATAGAGCACACACAAAGATACACATACACACACACACTCAAACACACACAGACAGACACAGACACACACTAACACAGACAGACATACACAGACAGACAGACGGACAGACAGACACACACACACACACACACACACACACACACACACACACACACACACACACACACACACACACACACACACACACCAAACCATTGAATCGTCAGTCTCATTTCAGTCTGAAACATTTGTAATTCTTGATCATTATTTTGATGACTATATGGATCTATATAATATATTTGAGATAACTGTTGTAACAGGACAGCCTCTTTCCAGTGAATTAGACCAGAGTAACAATTTCCGGTTTGATGAACCATGGGCACGGAAATATACCTGTAATATATCACACACACACGCACACACGCACGCACACACACACACAGACGCACACACAGACAGACAGACACACACACACACACACACACACACACACACACACACACACACACACACCAAACCATTGAATCGTCAGTCTCATTTCAGTCTGAAACATTTGTAATTCTTGATCATTATTTTGATGACTATATGGATCTATATAATATATTTGAGATAACTGTTGTAACAGGACAGCCTCTTTCCAGTGAATTAGACCAGAGTAACAATTTCCGGTTTGATGAACCATGGGCACGGAAATATACCTGTAATCACACACACACACACACACACACACACACACACACACACACACACACACACACACACACACACACACACACGCACGCACACGCACACGCACGCACACACACACACATACAGACACACACACACAGACACACACACGCACACGCACGCACACGCACACACACGCACGCACACACACACACACAGCTGCCTTCTTTGAGTGAGTGAATGACAGTATCGCAGTTGTATATCTGCGTGTCAGTGATGCCCGAAGTGATGAATGCCTTTACAACATTACAGCCACGATGATAGGTTTCTGCACAGAGAGTTGTGGCGCCTTAGACGACTTGGCCACTCGTTCCCATCCTTTTGTTATAATATTGTACAGACCGAAACTCTTTCAATGATCAGTTGAAGTTAAATGGTGTTTAATATTTCAGGTTGTGCTGACAAGGCTGCTGAATGTAGGCTGTGATGGACGACGGCGTGGAGGAAGGATGCAACAAGACTCTCAGCAACATCAACTGTTCCGACTCCGATCATCACGAACTCCAACCAGAAGCTGTTGCAGTCCCACTTGTTTTTACCCTCATTTTTATCATTGGTATCTTTGGTAACATTCTGCTCTTATGTTCTTTCATAAAGCATAAGACATTCGGCACCCCTCACAATGTATTTGTCATCAACCTTGCGATTGGGGACCTTGTTATTTTGTTCGTGTCACTTCCTTTCAATGCTACTTGGTACTACCTTCTCTCGTGGCCGTATGGTGAAGCGATTTGTAAACTCAGTCACTTTGCTGAAACACTTGGGACAGCCGTATCGGTGTTAACACTGACAATTCTCAGCATTGAAAGGTACATCATCATTTCCGGTCGTCATCGGTCCTCAAGGCGACGTTTCTCTCCCGCTGTCATTCTGGCGTTCGTGTGGATGACTTCACTCTACATCTCGATTCCTGACCTAATTTCAGCTGTTGTGGAATCACCCAAGTCTCATACAGGCAAGCTGTACTACTGTCTCGCGTACACAGCATCGTGGGGGCAAGTCTACCCAAAGATCATCACCGCAGTGCGGTTTGTTTTGCTGTTCGTTGTTCCACTTGCTGTAATTTTTCCTTTCTATGTCCTCATATTCTGTAGTGTCATCTCTAAGGCAACCCTTACCCAGCCTACGTCATCAACACCATTAAAGGGAGATAATCGTCAACTGAATGTCGAAAAAGAGGACAAAAAATTCCGTAAGAGAAAATCATTTGCTATTACTGTCTTCTGCCTCGTTTTGGTTTTCATCCTCTGCTGGCTGCCTCGACATACATTCCTTATATGGTATTACTTTGATCCTGGCCTTTTCAACGAATTTTGGCATGGTTTCAAAATTATTGGATTCTGTCTTGTTTTTGCCAATTCTGCCCTCAACCCTCTCATTTTCCTTCTGCTTGATAGTCGCTATAAACGATTTGTAAAACGCATTATCACCTGTAAAGGATCGACATCTCGTATTTTGAAAAACGATCGAGCCTTGGTGGAAGAGCAACAGACAATTGTAATGGCTGATATAGGTGGCAATGTGTCTCAGATTGACTTCGTGTAGGCATACATTATGAAATATTGACAGCTGCAATCTTCCATTAAATATGTGAACCATTCTGAAAGATATTATCGCAAAAGAATCTTGTTACTCGAAAAACGATAAAAATATGGCGCAATATGTGTGTGTGTGTGTGTGTGTGTGTGTGTGCGTGTGCGTGTGCGTGTGTCTGTGTCTGTCTGTGTCTGTCTGTGTCTCTGTGTGTGTGTGTGTGTGTGTGTGTGTGTGTGTGTGTTCCATATGCATTTCATCTATAAAAAACATATGAATGAGTCTTAGATCAGACATGATGTCAGTGCTGTACATTTCAAGAGGCTTCCAAGTCGGACACAAAGTGCCGGACAAAAGAAAGTATACACTTGTAAATTTAAATCAAAATGTTACTAGGCTGAACACTGCAAACTGAAGGTCCAAAATCAGTATCATATACATCATCGTCGAATAACCAATTCTTGTTTGTTTCATTTTTAGCCACCATCAAACATGGTCGTATACTTTCTTTTACTCGGTAGTTAACATCATAGCCGCGCCATTTTCTGTCTTGTCGTAGGAATAGGTACACATGTTACATCGTGACATATTATGACAAACGATTATTTTGGGGAACAAACATATATAGGTACTTAGGAACATACAGGTATATCTCCGTGGCCATGGTTCATCAAACCGGAAATTGTTATTCTGATCGATTTCACTGGAAAGAGGTTGTCCCGTTTAACAGGGCTTCACTGTGTTACAACAGTTAGCCCATATAGTCATCAAAATAATGATCAAGAATTACAAATGTTTCAGACTGAAATGAGACTGACGATTCAATGGTTTGGGCGGTGTGCCTGTTGTTGTTGTTGCTGTTGTTGTTGTTGTTGTTGTTGTTGTTGAAGGGGAGTGTGTTAGAAACAGAATTTTCCGTCGTTGCTTCAAAACATGTAATTTTATTATGTGAAAGAAGATGATTTTTAAGAATGATAGTAGATTCTTGGTGACTAACAAGCATAATAGTTAACAACACACGTACATTCTCAGTGAAATAGTTTATAACCCACGTAGGTTCTCGTTGATTTTTAAGAATAATGGTTTACAACCCACGTAGATTATCGGTGAAAGAGTTTACTACTAAGCCCATTCTCGGTGATTTTTAAGGATATAGTTTACAACCCACGTAGATTCTTAGTGATTTTTAAACAATAGTTTACAACCCACGTAGGTTCTCGGTGGCTCTCGAGCATAATAGTTTACAGCCAACATATATTTTCGGTGATAATGAATTTGTTTACAACCCTCCTAGATTCTAGGTGATTTTGGAGATTAACAGTTTACAACCCACGAAGATTCTCGGTGGCTCTGAAGAATAATAATATACAACATACCATACATATATTTTCGACCCGTGAAGTTCCGGGGTAGATCCGGCCCTAAAAGGCGACTATACTTGTCGTAAGAGGCGACTAACGGGATCGGGTAGTCAGGATCGCTGACTTGGTTCATGCATGTCATCGTATCCCATTTGCGTGGATCGATGCTCATGATATCAATCACTGGATTGTCTGGTCCAGACTCGATTATTTACAGACCGCCGTCATATAACTGGGATATTGCTGTGTGCGGCGTAAAACAACCAACCAACCAACTAACCAACCAACATATATTTTCTGTGAAATAGTTCACAACCTACGTTGATTCTCGGTGGCTACCGAGCATAACAGATTACAACCCACGTAGAATCTCGGTGAAATAGTATACAACCCACGTAGAATCTCGGTGAAATAGTTTACACCCCACGTAGATTCTCGGTGAAATAGTTTACACCCCACGTAGAATCTCGGTGAAATAGTTTACACCCCACGTAGATTCTCGGTGAAATAGTTTACACCCCACGTAGATTCTCGGTGAAATAGCTTACAACCACTTATATGCTAGGAGATGTTTTAGAATAATAGTTTGCAGATTCTCGGTGGCTCTCAAGAATAATACTTTACACCCCACGTAGAATCTCGGTGAAATAGTTTACACCCCACGTAGATTCTCGGTGAAATAGTTTACACCCCACGTAGATTCTCGGTGAAATAGTTTACACCCCATGTAGATTCTCCCTCAAACATCTTCCCTGTGCGTAAAGATGAAGTTGTAGTTGGCACGTAATATTTAATATTTGTAGTTTTCTAAAAGATTATATTTGGTGTTGGTTTACATAGTAACAATGTCATGTGATGAATGCCTTGTAATTGTATATCATGTGATGAAGCATATGTACTAGTCACTTCATTTATTGACTGAAATAAATGTTTCAAAATACAAATATCTTACCTCATCAAAAGATGCATCATTGTAAGGAGATGTCCATGTAATCAGAAATAGTTTGTAAATAAAAGCGGCAAAAACATATTCATAATCAGAAGAAATTTCTGTTAAAAGCAGAGTCGATTGAACAATTCCGACTATATCATGAGCATGTGTTTATGAATCAAATGTCAAATATTGATACGAGACGTTCATGAAAAGGTGAGAGTATCTTTCACCACCGGTAGCACACGTCTCAAACCAAGGCAAACCAAGGGCAAAACATATGTTTACCTGAACACATATGGACAAAACAACCTTTGAGCAAGAGTCGTATGACGCTCTTTGAAATCTTTGCAGAAAGAGCATGCTCGATTGTACCTCATAAATGTAGACACCAATGGCTGGAGCGGCTGGAATATATCAAGGGAACGTTAGCTGTTGGTCAGTTCAAGTCATCCCTTTTGTGATACAGTCTTGCGGAGAGTGATTGTCGTTTTGAATCTTATGTACAGATCTAAATAGGACAAGGTGAGGCGGTTTCACTGACCTCCTTTAGTTCTAGCTCAGGTGGGTAAGTCAGTGGAAGGACATTGGCTATTTAAAATTGTTAAACGGTTTAGGATCATTGATATACCTAAAGCTTAAGTTAAACTTCTAAGCCAAATTTAACCACAATAGCTCCCTTGGCTGTAGCTATAATGTACATGTATAGTGTATCCAACAACCGGGTATGTACACATCGATATTGCTTGGGAGGGATTGGGTTTACTAAATATCAAGCTCCAGATTCTTTGCAGTCGTGTTGACTGATCAGTTACGAACACGCGGTTGCACTAGAGCCACCGTATTGACCCGTGTACTACATAGACGGCTATGTTGAATGTAAATATGCCTTATGTTTCATGCACGCATGATAGTGTCAAGGATTGGACACGATGGACTTGCATTGACTTCCATTCCTTTCCGTTTGTCCACACGTTGCATCGATTTGCATTTTCCGGGGGAAGAATAACTTTGTTCCTGTGTGTATGCCTAATTGCGCGTGTGGGCTCGTCTCTAAAAGGAGCTTTGTTTGGTTTTGAGTGAGTGAATGTGTTGGGTTTAACGCCGCTTTTAACAATATTCCAGTTATATCACGGCGTGTCAGCTTAATGTGGGAGGAAAGCCCGAAGTGATGCAGGTTTCAGACGTTTACCGTTTCGGTGAAACCCACGAGCATGGGTATGGTGCTGACAAACCTAGAAACATAATCGGGGCGAACCGGGATTTCGAACCCACAATCATAGGTTTCTATGCGTGCCTAAGGGACGCAACTCTGCACAGCGAATCGCGGCGCCTTAGACGACTGGGCAACCCGTTTGGTTTTATTTTACTAAAATTACCTTCTGATTTATAAGAAAGGACTATCGTGTGACAAGGCGACGAAATCCTTTTCATAATAATAAAAATCTATAAGAGTCTATTGTACGATTCCGACGGTGTTCATTAATCACTATCAACTAGGTATGTGACAATGAAAACTGGAAGATTAACATATTATCAAATATTTTTTCTTTCTTCACAAACATGAAACAGAAGTCATTTCCATACTTATTTCGTTGGGATTACGTGAGCAAACATTGTGGTATTGTGCAACGCCATAGCACATCGTCATCCATCACAGCAGCACAATGTCATGGCACATCGTCACTCGTTATCATACGACAACCCAATAGTACATCAACATAGCACAACGCCATAGCATATAGTCACGCATCTAAACAGCACAAAGCCAAAAGACATAATCACGCATTGTTACAACCCCCCAGTGTTCACCTAACCCTTCGTGTAACTATGAGTGTTTTTTGTGTGTTTGTTTGTTGTTTAACGCCGCACTCAGCAATATTACAGCTTTATGACGGCGGTCTGTAAATAATCGAGTCTGGACCAGACAATCCAGTGATTGACATTGTGAGCATCGATCCGCGTAATCGGGACCGATGACATGTATCAACCAAGTCAGCGAGCCTGACCACCCGATCCCGTTAGTCGCCTTTTACGACAAGCATAGTCGCCTTTTACGGCAAGCATGGGTTGCTGAAGACCTATTCTACCCCGGAATCTTCACGGGTTCGTGTAACTATGAACACTAAGGGTCGTAACTGCAACACCTAGTGTAAACATGTGAACACTAAGCGTTGCACCGCAGCTGTTAGTGTCATTAAAACACTAGGGGTTGATATTGAAACCGCTTGTGTTGACTTCTGAACTGCTCAGAATACCCAAAATATAACACTAGTCATTTGAACTGAATATTCTGAAAAAGAAATACATTTTTAAAATGTGTGATTATATTTTTTAAAAACGTGTGTATAAACATATCCATCCATCTTTTCGTAATTATAGTTGCATCCCTGAAGCTTGTTCACCTGCTTTGATGTTATCATGTAGTATCAAATAGTATGAGTCCTATTCAAATAGCCATAATTAAGCAGTCCCTGTGGGATTTATCCGCCACCGTTCACCTCAAGGTCTATGACAATAATATATGATATATGAGACATATAGGTCTCCTGTTGAATTTGTTTGCCACATGTCATGTTAAGGTCAAGGTCAAGATAATTGAAATGTCACTGATGTGCTAAAAACCTCATTACCAATTTTCCGAGAAAACTTTTCACGAAACTTGGTATAATTCATCTCCACATTGAGGTTGCGAGCCAAGTGACTTCGGACGTAAATTGTTCTGAAGGTCAAGGTCACACAGAGGTCACAGAAAGATTATTCTAAGGTTATTCTGGTGCATCAAATATTGTTACCAACCTGTCGAAAAAACTACTGGGCACGATTTCATGACACAGGTCAAGGTTACGCA